AAACCTCAACCTACATCTCTGCTTTATATAAAAATTAACTCAAAATAGATCATGGACTTCAATGTAATAAGTGAAAGTATAAAAGTTTTATTGAAAGGAAAAACACAGCAGAAATCTTTCAGATCTAGAACCAGGCAAAGAGTTCTTACACTTGATACTAAAAGCATGATCCATAAAAGAAAAAACTGATAAACTGGATTTCATTGAAATTAAATACTTTAGCTCTGCAAAAGACCATCAAGAAAATAAGAAGACAAACCAGAGGCTGAGAGAAAATATTTGCAAACTATGTATCTCCCAAAGACTTGCCAAATTAGTAGTGGTACAGTTTAAAGAGGGGAAGGGGTGGAAGGAAGTGGGTATGGCTATAAAATGACACGAACAAAGGAATCCTATGGCAGTGGAAATGTTCTCTGTCCTATCGATAACATGGTTGTGATACTGTACTGTAGTTTTACAAGGAGATTCCACTAGGGGTAACTATGTAAAGGATACAAGGGACCTCTCTATATTATTTCTTATAACTGCATATGAATCCACAATTATCTCAAAGTAAGAAATTTAATTAAAAGAAAACCTTTTTAAGTCAACAGTGAAAAGTTGAATCATGACAAGTTATGACATAGTAACTTATGTGGAATATCTGAGTTTCTAAGACATTAACTAAATGCTAATTTGAATATCCCTTGAAAGAAGAGTGACATTTCCAAAGCTACTGGTAAAAGTCAAAGGATTACATCTTCAAGCAAAATAATCAATACAGTTCTACAGTGAGGACTTGTCATTAAAATTCCAAAACTTGAGGCCTAATTAGGTGGTATCTGTTGTCTGGCAAAGGCCTAAATTTTCTTATTCAACAGACAAAATTATTAACAAACCAATGAATAGTTAACATGCACCTTCTACTTGCCAAACACTGTTCTGGAAGTTTCCCCTCTATGTTCTTCATCTCTGACACTGAGGCTATACATGGTTCTAATGGAAGCGCCTTCAGCTACCGTGATAAATCCAACTACCATAATTAGAGTATTTCTTAAGCTTTCCAAGTTCTAACTTAATGACTAAAACATATTTATTTGGAATAAACCACTTACTTCTCAACTACCCCACAAGTTTCCAACTTCCTCAATAATTAGTCTAAGTTTAGAGCGGGAAGAAATGTTCAGATGAAGCCTATTCAAAACCACAGTACATGCAATTTTGTTTAAAATTGCCTAATTTCTTTTAAATTTTCTGAAATTTACTACTAAAGTATGCTTTTTTCAAGCGTATGTTCTTACAAATGATTTGTTCATGGCACGTTTCACTTCATCAGAACCATCTGAATAGATCTGCTGAAATAATTTGTTTAAAGCTGCATCTCCCTCCAACTTCTCATTTTTTTCTTCTTCTTTGATCTCACCGACCAATTTATCCCAATTTCTTGTATAATGAGATGATGATGGATATAAGTTCTTTACATCTATGGAGTAAAAAAGATAGAAGTGATTAATCAACACGTGATGACTATGTCAAAAATATGTAAACTTTGTGACTGTGGTATAAAGAACATTGTAACAGTTTATAGTTCACTGAATTTCATATTTATAACAAATGTCTTCTTTGATAAAGTTTATTAATTTTGAGGGGGGGGAGAGACAGTGTTTTATTTATCTATCTATTTATTTATGAGAGGCCTGGGGAGGGGCACAGAGAGCAAGAGAGACAGAATCCCAAGCAGGATTGTCACGCTGTCACGCTGTCAGCATCGAGCCTGACGCGGGCTCTATCTCACAAAATGTGAGATCATGATCTGAGCTGAAATCAAGAATCAAGACACTTAACTAAGCCACCCAGGCACCCCTCTAATAAATATCTTTCTGATATATACATCAACAATCAGACTTACACTTATCAAAACTGAATCAGTTAGTATAATGTAAAATCTGGGAATTTTTTTTGAGCAAAATAAAGTGTACATTTTTGGTACATTATCCAAGATTAGATTAAAAACAGACTCTTTGTGTTAATAATGGGGGGGACTGGGTGAGAAGTGTACTGGAACTTTTATATTTATACAAAAGTTGCAAAAATAGTACAAATAATAAAAGATACTAAATAATAATAGTGTTTGTATTTATTTTTTTATTATGAAATTTACTGTCAAATTGGTTTCCATACAATACCCAGTGCTCATCCCAACAGGTGCCCTCCTCAATGCCCATCACCCACTTTCCCCTCCCTCCCATCCCCCTAAATAGTGTTTTTTAAAATGATGCTGAAGAAATTTCTCTTATAA